CTGGAAGCATTTCTTCTCTACTGTGAATACTTCTCTATATCTTGTGCTAAACTCTTCACATACATCCTGGTCACTCTTTGTGAGTTCCTCTCCTTCCTTCCTAAACCTGATTACCTAGTCATTGACTGTTTTCCTCCTTGGCTTTTGATGCTGTAATTCTCATATTGCCACTGGGTCTCTCTTTTTATCCATTCATATTCGTTTCTGGTTCTTTGGCTTAACTCATTGTATTCTTGAGTCCTTTGCCTTCTATATTTGTTCCATGTTCTAGCACACTTGGCTTTGGCCTCTTTACATCTCCAGGTACATCATGGGCTCACTCTAGTCTTTTCATTTTTTTCTGTTACCCCTTGGTATGAACTTCTCTGCCTTCCTGCACTTTGTGGTAATTCGTTCCATCATTTAATTTACTGTCTTTCCCTCTAGTTCTGTTTCCAACTGCACCTCATGCAGGAATTGCGTCATACCTCGGTAGTCCCCTTTTTTTGAAGTTTGGCTTCTCCCGTCTTTCTAGTGCTGCTTCGTTTCTCCATCGTTAACACTTCAAAGTATTCAAAACTCAGGACCACATGGTCACTAGCACCAAGGGGCCTTTCATGTGTATATTCCCTGTGTCTGAACTGTTCAAAGTGAATACAAGGTCCAGCCTTGCTGGAACATCCTCTCCTCTCTGTCTGGTTGTATCTCTAACATGTTGGTCCATGAAATTTTCCAGTCGGCCTCCAGCATCGTAGCCCTCTACGTTTCTGGGTCCCCATGTGGTTCTAGGTTTTCCCAATCTCGTGACTGAAGTCCCCCATGACAAATAACTTTGTCTTACCCAAGTAGGCCCTTCTGGCCACCTCTGCTAGTGTATCCACCATTGCTCTATTGCTGTCATTGTACTCTTGTCTTGGTCTCTTGCTGTTCACTGGTGGGTTGTACATCACTGGTATCATCACCTTCGGACCCCCAGTCTGAAGCATTCCTACTGTGAAGTCATCTGGTTCCCCTCTATCCAATCCTTCCATTTACTCAAAACTCCACTAGATTTTGATGAGCAGTGCAACTCCTCCTCCCCCTCTCTTCCCTTTGTCTTTCCTCAGGATCTGATATCCATTTGGAAAAATCGTATTTGTTATTCCCGTGAGCTTTGTCTCTGTGAGTGCTATGATATACGGGGATTCCGCAAGGATTAGTTCTTGCCACTCCTCAGTCTTATTTATTATTCCATCTGTGATGATGTACCAAACCTTCAGCTTCCTTTCCAGTACTGTATTTTGGGAGGAGGGAGAGGTTGGTGCAGACTGGGGGTGTGGAAGGCAGGGCGGGATATTATAAAAGGCTGATGTGATGGTGGTTTTAGTGCTGGGGGAGGGGAGGGCTGTGGAGTGAGGTTTGTTTCTGTGGGGTGAGGTTTATGTTTGGTTCATATGGGGTGGTGGGGGTTGAGGGGGTTCTGTGAGCATTTGTGCTTGGTTTTTCCCTAAGGCTGAGCTTCCTTATCTGTTGATACCTGCTCTGTCTCTTTCCTTCCACTAGTGTCTTCTTACTCTCACTCTTAGTTGTTCCAATTCTTATTGTATTCTGTCGCAGTTAAGGCACACTCGCTGATTTTATCGGGAGCTTTTTAATAGTAGTTTCTGTTGCAGTAACCTGATCTGTACCACTTCTGTCTTAAATGTCAATTTGACTGGGCGATTATTTTCCCTCGAATACTCCCCCCCAAGTGTGTGGTAATTTATCTGGGACATGTCCTTCTCTCCTGTTATTGCGATGATGCACTCAGTCTCATTTTCCTCCCAATGTTTTCTTTCATCATCGGTCGTCCCTTCAGCTTCCTTAAGCCCATGGATAATTACTGACCTATCCCTCTCTTCTTTCTGCTTCTTTTCCTTCCGTATCTCTGGATCCAATTTACATATCTCCTTTGTTATTGCTCTTATGTCCCTGACACCATGGTGGCCTGATATTACTCGTGTAAGGGACTTATTAGCTCCTTCCCCTCCTTTAGTCCCCTCAAAGTCGGCTGATGTTTTCATTTCCATTCTCGGTTCCCTTGCCTCTACATCACTCTTTTCACATCCCATTTTTTTTTATCCTGTTAGAATGTTCTAGTTACTGCGGTCTGTAAACTTTGTGTAGAGGTGTGTGTGTGTGTGTGTGTGTGTGTGTGTGTGTGTGTGTGTGTGTGTGTGTGTGTGTACTTACCTAACTGTACTCACCTAATTGTTGCTGCAGGGGTCGAGTCGTAGCCCTTGGCCCCCACCTCTTCACTAGTCACTACTAGGTTACTCTCGCCTCGCTCCGTGAGCTTTAACATACCTCTTCGTAAAGTTATGTATGGATCTTGCCTCCGCTACATCACTTTCCAGACTATTCCACTTCCTGACAAATCATTGACTGAAGAAATAATTCCTAACATCCCTGTGGCTCATCTGAATCTTCAGCTTCCAATTGTGATCCCTTGTTGCTGCGTCCCATCTCTGGTACATCCTATCTCTGTCCACTTTGTTGATTCCTGTCATTATGTCCCCCTTATCCCTCATGCCCTCCACTGTCGTCAGGTCGATATGAGATATGTGGCATTTTGCCCAGGAGAGGAGTTGGAAATGAATGGTTGGCCAGGGCAATTGGTGTCAATTGCTGGCTGGACAAACACTGTAAGGAAAATGCAGTAACATTCATAGACAACTGGGATTCTTCTATTGCAGAAATGACATGTATGCCAGGATGGGGTTCACTTACCTAGGTTTGGGGTGGGAGCACTGGTGGAGAGAGCTGTTAGGTCTTTAAACTAGGAATAGATATTGGTATGGGTATGTGTAGAAAACCAATGAATTCTCAGTGTAGCGATAGTGTGAGTTTTAGGGAAACCTGTTATAGGCAGAATGGGGTAGAGTATTGGTGAATATTGGAAAGCCAGTGGGACTAGGTGACAAGAACAGTAACAGGTATAGTGGAGGAACAGATATCAGCAGGAAAAGAGAAGGGGGGGGGGGTTCTAAACATATATTATACTTATAGCCGTAGTGCGAGAAATAAGATGGACGAATTGAGATTAGTTGCGAGTGTGGGTAACTTTTTTTTTGCCATAACTGAGATGTGGTTTAATATGAAAAATCGGATCATGCCTGCTGAATGTCAAATTCAGGTTTTTAAATTTTAAAGTATCGGAAAGGGGGGTAGGGTGGCACTTTGTCCGAGATCGTTTAAATTGTTGCATAAAAACGGGTATTAAGTCTGAAACACATACTGAGTCTGTTTGGGTATAATTTTCAGAGCACGAAAAATTGATTTTAGGTGTGATATACCGTCCCCCAAACTTGCATAGAGACCGAGGAAGACTACTGTGGAAGGAAATTGTTAAGGCCACAAGGCACGATAACGTTATAATTCTAGGGGACTTTAACTTTAGTCATATTGATTGGAATTCCTTGACTGGGAGTTTAGAGTCTAACGACTTCTTAGAGGTAGTTCAGAATTTTTTAAAGCAGTTTGTTACAGAACCTGCAAGGGGAAATAACCTCCATGACTTGGTTCTGACAAACAAGGAAACCCTTGTTAATAATTTAGAAATTTCAAAGGAACTTGGGGCAAGGAGGGATAACTCAGTAACAGTCCCAGATTTTTGCTTAGCAGATTGCAATGGGCTTAGAGAATAACTATCATATGTGGACTGGTGTAACAAAGAGAGCTATCAATATGCGAGCTTTCTAAACACTATACATGCTGCCCAAAGGACATTTATTTCGTACAAAGAAATTAGATCGAATAGAAATGACCCTAAATGGATGAATAATAGTCTCAAATACCTTTTAAGGAAAAAGAAAGGAATTTATAGGCGCATCAGAAGAGGTGAGGGTCATCTTATGAATCAATATATTGACATTAAGAAGGATGTTAAAAAAAAGGGATAAGAAAAGCTAAACAGGACTACGAAATTAAAGTTGCTAGGGATTCGAAAACTAACCCGAAAGATTTTTCCAGGTTTATAGAACAAAAGTTAGAGGGAGAATGAACTGTGCTCTAATTTTAATAATTTTCTCTCGGTTTTCACACAGGAAGACACTAACAATATCGCAATAATTAATTTTTATAGTGGGCCTGAATAAGGTAAATTATGTAATATCACAGTCACTAGTGAGATGGTTGTGAAACAAGTAGACCAATTAAAAGAAAATAAATACCCGGGCCATGATGAGCTTTTTTCAAAGGTTTTTAAGGAATGCAAAATGGAACTCTGTGAACCATTGACTAATATTTTTAATTTATCTCTTCAAACAGGTGTAGTGTCTGATATGTGGAAGATGGCTAATGTAATTCCTATTTTTAATGCAGAGGACAAGTCGTTACCGTCAAATTACCGCCCAGTAAGCCTAACCTCAATTGTAGGCAAATTTCTAGAGTCAATTACAGCTGATAATATAAGAAGCCGTTCTTTCCTAACTAATTTACTAACTTTTGAGGCTGTTGATCACGATAAAGAATTCGATATTGTTTATTTGGATTTTAGTAAAGCTTATGATAGAGTACCACATCAGAGACTGTTAAAGAAAGTGGCAGCTCATGGCACTGAGGGAAAAGCTGATGTCATGGATCGAGTCATGGCTCACCAATAGGAAGCAGTGTGCATAAATGGGGTTAAAACTGGCATTCCACAGGGATCAGTTTTAGGCCCTAATCTCTTGTATTGGACTATGTCAAAAGCCTTCATACAATCCAAAAAAAATGCAGTCTACCCACCCCCTCTCTCTTTCTTGTCTTACTGCTGTCACCTTGTCATAGAACTCCAGTAGGTTCGTGACACAGGACTTTCCGTCCTTGAATCCGATAAGTTCATTCTTTTCTAGGTGATACACCACTCTTCTGAAAATCTTCCCCATGACTTTGCATTATTGTACATGTCAGTGACACTGGTCTGTAGTTTAGTGTTGTGTGTGTGTGTGTGTGTGTGAGAGAGAGAGAGAGAGGCCGACCCAAACACTTGCCTACTAACCCTGCTGTTGCTTCTTCTACAGGTGCAGTGATCGTGCCTGGGTCACTGAAGGTGGCAGTAACGCAGGTGACGGGTGACGGCGCTGTGCTCACCTGGGCCACATCTTCGGGTCATCGGAAAGTCATGACCTCGTGCTTGCTGCACTACGGCCCTCTGACTGAGGCCATGCATGTTCAGACCGCGGTGCAACCGGCCGAGCACCGCATCGCCCTCGCGCACCTTGCTCCCCACACCACCTACTACGCCTTCCTCAGTTGTTCCCACGCAACCACTACTTACACTTCTAACACCGTCCACTTTACACCACGTAAGTTGTCCCTCACTCACTGTCTCATAACTCCTATCTCATTAATCACTGGCTCACGTCATTCCTATGTCACCTTGACCAATATACAACTATGTTTTTTATGCAACTATATTTACCTGGTATAGATTTAAGAATGAAGTGCTTGAGTATGCAGCAGAAGTTTTTGTTAGCATATGAGAGGTTTTTGCTATTTAGAAGTGATATACTGAGGACAGCAATGCCTAAGCGTACGTAATAGGGCAAATAGTTTACTGGGATTTATATCAAGAAGTGTAAGCAACAGAAGTCCAGAGGTCATACTGAAGCTTTATACATCATTAGTAAGGCCTCACCTAGATTATGTAGCTCAGTTCTGGTCTCCATATTACAGAATGGACATAAATTCATTAGAAAACATTCAGCGTAGGATGACTAAATTAATACATAGCATTAGAAATCTTCCTTATGAAGAAAGATTGAAGACTCTTAAGTTACATTCACTTGTTAAACGAAGAATGAGGGGAGACCTGATCGAAGTGTATAAGTGGAAGATATGTATTAATAAAGGGGATATAAATAAGGTCTTGAGGATCTTCATGACTTTCCATTTGGCAGGGTTGAATTCGACCACGTGTCCAACTTGTCCAGGTCTCTTTGAAGTCCTGCCTGATCCTCATCTGATTTAATTCTCCTCATTAACTTCACATCATCTGCGAACAATGACACTTTTGAGTCTATCCCTTCCATCATATCATTCACATATACCAAAAATAGCACAGGTCCTAGGACCGAACCCAGTGGAATCCCGCTCGTCACAGTTACCCACTGTAATACCTCATCACGTACCATGACTCGTTGTTGCCTCCCTGTCAGGTATTCTCTGATCCATTGAAGTGCCCTTCCCGTTATACGCGCCTAATCCTGTAGTTTCTGCACTATCCTCTAGTTTCTGCACTAATCTATTGTGAGGAACTGTGTCGAAGGCTTTCTTGCAATCCAAGAAGATGCAGTCAACCCATCCCTCTCTTTCGTGTCTTACTTCTGTTACTTATCATAAAACTCCAGAAAGTTTGTGACACAGGATTTGCCTTCCATGAAACCTTGCTGGTTGTCATTCTTACTTTTGTTCCGTTCCAGGTGCTCCACCACTCTCCTCCTGATGATCTTCTCCATGACTTTGCATACTATACACATCAGTGACACTGGTCTGTAGTTTAGTGCCTCTTTTCTGTCTCCTTTTTTAAAAATGGGAACTACATTTGCCGTCTTCCATACCTCAGGTAGTTGCCCAGTTTCAAGGGATGTGTTGAAGATTGTGGTTAGTGGCACACACAGTATTTCTGCTCCCTCTCTAAGGGCCCACGGGGAGATGTCCGGTCCCAATGCCTTTGAGGTATCAAGGTCACTTAGCAGCTTCTTCATCTCCTCCTCAGTTGTGTGTTGTCATCCAGCACTTGTTGGTGTATTCCTGTTGGTGTCCCCCTCTGTCCTGTCTTCCGAGAGTTCTTCCTGTCTTCTTTGTGTTTGTGTGTGTACACTCACCAAGTTGTTGTTGCAGGGTTCGATTCACAGCTCCTGGCTCCGCCTCTGCACTGTTCGCTACTAGGTCACTCTTCCTGCTCCATGAGCTTTGTCATACCTCTTAAAGCTGTGTATGGATCCTGCCTCCACTATATCACTTCCCAGACTATTAGACTTAGTGACAACTCTTTGACTGAAGAAATACTTCCTAATATTCCTGTGTTTCATCCGAGGCTTCAACTTCCAATTGTGACCCCTTGCTGCTGTGTCCCATCTCTGGAACATCCTGTCTCTGTCCACCTTGCCAATTCCTCTCAGTATTTTTTTATGCCGTTATCATACCCCCTCTATCTCTCCTGTCCTCCATTGTCGTTTTGTCGATTTCCCTTAACCTCTCCTCATAGGATGTGCCCCTTTGCTCCGGGACTAGTCTTGTTGCAAACCTTTGCGCTTTCTTTAATTTTCTTTCGTGCTTGGCTAGGTGTGGGTTCCAAACTGGTGCTGCATACTCTAATATAGGCCTGACATACACGGTGTACAGGGTCCTGTACGATTCCATATTGAGATGTCGGAATGCTAGGTTTGCTAGGCACCCATATGCTGCAGCAGTTATTTGGTTGATGTGCGCCTCAGGAGATGTACCCCGTGTTATACTCACCCCAAGATCCTTTTCCTTGAGTGAGGTTTGTAGTCGCTTGCCCCCTAGACTGTACTCTGCCTGCAGTCTCCATGGCCCTTCTCCAACCTTCGTGACTTTGCACTTGGTGGGGTTGAGCTCCAGGAGCCAGTTTCTGGAGCTGGCCTGCAGCTTGTCCAGATCCCTTTGTAGTTCTGTCTGGTCTTCGTCCAGTTGAATTTTTCTCATCAACTTCACATCATCTGCAAACAGGGACACCTCCGTCATGTTGTTCACATATACCAGAAACAGCACTGGAAGCCCGCTCGTTACACTCGCCCACTCTGATACCTTATCACGTACCATGGATCACTGATGTCTTCCCGACAGGCATTCCCTGATCTATTGAAGTGCCTTCCCTGTTATACCGACTTGGTCCTCCAGCTTATGCACTAATCTTTTGTGTGGAACTGTGTTAAAAGCATTGGAATCTTGTCCATTTCTAATGCTAATTTTATGGTGTTTTAATCTTAGTTCGAGACTTTTACCAGTTTGACCGTAGTAAACTTTATCGCAAATTTTACAAAGAATCTTATAGACACATCCGTCAGCATTTAAGATTCCTTCTAAAATTTGCGATAAAGTGTAATACGGTAAAACTGGTAAAAGTCTCGAACTAAGATTAAAACAACATAAATATAGCATTAGAACTGGACAAGATTCCATTGCTCTATTTAATTATTTAATTAATTTTTCAAAAAGTTGAGAGAGTTGTATCAAGCAAGTCCATGGTCGACAGGAATATAATTGAATCTTGTTTCATAAAAAGCAGTTTTGAAAATAATATGAATATTTCTTTTGGTTTATATAAATTAGATCCATTTATAATTAATAGAATCTGGGAAGAATTTAATAATACATTGGACAAATAATAAATCTTAATTCTTGGGTAGAATAATTTGTTTGTGGGATGCCGTGAAGGACCTGTCGAGTTGGGCCAGCGGGCCTGCTGCAGTGTTCTCTTTCTTACGAGTCGCGTGTCGTCGCTTGTCAGGTGTTGCTTTGTTGTGGGATGTGATGGTGAGGCGTGGTCTAGGCCCTTTATATGCCTTCCTTTCATGTGTTACTTTTATTGTTCCTTGATAATGTGAGTAGTCACGAAAGCGCTTGGAATTTCACTATTCTTTCACAGTGGTTGTTTTGCATATTCTGAAATCACCTGTTTACTGTGATCTTATTGCATATATATATATATATATATATATATATATATATATATATATATATATATTATATATATATATATTATATATATATATGGCCGCAAAAATATGTACATTAGCAATGCAAAAAAAAAATGTGTACACACGATATTTTGGTGCTTACATTTCATTTGCATTTCCACCATAGGAGAAGTGGGAGGAGCTGTTGATGACATAGTGTACTAGAGCCTGTCTTGCTCCCATGATGCCGCACTTCATTGCTCTGCCAGAGCTCGGGTAAGGAAGGAGGTTTTTAAAGTTCCTCAGTGCCCTTTTTTTCACTTGACCACAAACTTTACCACGCTATATTTCCACTCCAAGTGGTCAGAATGGGTCGAACTAATCTTTCAATTGCAGAGAAGATCCGTGCACTCACCCTATTAGAGCAAGGCATGTCTGTGACATGCGTAGCCACAGACCTGAAACTGACTAGAATGGCAATTTACCTCAAGAAAGCACCGTACCACCCAGGAAATTGGGCTCTTGGGCCCCTAAAAAGACTTCTCTTCACAGAGACAAGTCCCTGAAGAGGGAAGTGTTATCAGATCCTGCCATAACCTCCGACAGACCTCAAGAAAAGCATCCTGCACTCCTGAAAGACGTCAGAGTGTGAACTATTCAGAGCTGCAATAGGACCTGAAAATACCTGCTCGACGTGCCGCCAAGAAGCCCATGCTAACTGAAAAAATGAAGAAAAAACGGCTTCAGTTCTTCAAGAAGTACAAAGATTCGACCTCAGACCAGTGGCAGAAGGTGATGTTAAGCGATGAGAGTACCTTCAGGCTCGTCGGGAGCGGCTCCTAAACCGTCCGTCATCCCAGTGGTGAGTCCCGTTATGATCCGCAGTACAGTGAAGCACCCTGACAGTATTATGGTCTGGGGTGGTTATACGGGCAGGGGTGAACTATACTTCCTTCTTAAAAACATTATGTTGAAGGAAAGTAATTATCTCGAGGTGTTACGGGAGCACATGTTGACATTTTGGTACATTCACGAGTATGACTTTTTTAGGCATAATGGTGCCTCTGCCCATAAGTTAAAAGCAGGGCAAAAGTTCCTCGAGGACAATAATATCAGTGTTTTGGAGTGGCCAGGCAATTCCCGACCTAAATCCTATCGAGAATGCCTGGCATGTGATGATAAATGATATTGCAAAAGCTCAACCCACTATCACAGACCTGAAGGAGGCACTGAAGAAGCTTTGGATGAATATGGACGCCTCCTTATTCTTCACCCTCGCCACTTCGATGCCCAAGCGACTTCATATAGTGATAAAGAACAAGGGTAACATGACCAAGTAATAACTGGAAGCTAAGTAGTGAAAATAAAATGTATTTTTTCGTTATATTGTCCAAAAAATAAACGTATAGATTTTTTTACGGCCACTATTAATATATATATATATATATATATATATATATATATACTATTATATATTATATATATCATTATATATTATAAATATATATATATAATATATATTATATATATATATATATAAATATATATATAATATATATTTATAGTATATATATAAATATATATATATATATATATATAAATATATTATATATATATATAAATATATATATATAAATAATAATATTTAAATTTATATATAT